GGAGACGACATGGCTAGGGTTTGCCTCCCCCACTCGCGGGAGCTGTCGGGCGACAGAGGAGCCTCACAGGCTGAGCCGTCTCGCGGTGACCGCGTGACCCGGTTGGTTGCTCTGCTCAACCTCATAACCTATCCCTCGTCTTCCTTACCTCCGGCCTCCTTGTCACCCTGACCCCTTCTTTGTCAATTTACAGAACTATGTAAATTGAGCAGATAAAACAACCACTCAGCCCAGTAGAGTGATGTAAAAAACACTTCACATATAAAAGAAATGAAAATCATAATATAATTTTCACAATGAGAAATCAATCAATATGTGAATAAACGACGAATGAAGGTAGCTGCCGGTTGCTTGAGAAACAATATATTTATCACATGAACTAGTGTTAATAAGCAACACAAAACTTGATGATTCGAAACATAAAGAATGAATATTGTCACCTAATGCATCTTATCCTTCTCTATTCAAAAAAGTCAAACCGTTTAATTATTGACCTAATTGTGTATACTCTGCCAAGTAACCGTCTGTACTAGTTCTGTATTGATGATGTTCTATTGGCGAGTTCGTCGTCTGCGTCGGAGACTCTGGAGCGGAAGGCGTGCATCTCCTCAAATTGACGCGCTCTTACCTATCAGCAGCAACATACACAGTTATTTTGAAGGTAAAACTGGAAGGACTATAATCTATCCAGTCATCAATATAAAGCATGGAAAAGCCTTCGAATTCAAGCTGCTCACACAGCGTTATTAAACATAATAATTCCATCTTCATTAACACACCACATACATATGTTAGTATGACTAGTATTCATAGCTAACATGCTTTATTAAGATACAAAGAGTAGTATATACCTTGGAACGGCCTCCTTCCTTTTCTTTCTCACCCTGAAGAGAGAAAAAGAAGATTGGGGGAGAGCTGTTAAGTGATCGAGCATGAAAAATGAGACATTACTTTCTTAAAGGAGCCTAATTTGTCGGGAATAATTGTAGAATCACCTGGCCTTGGAGTGTGGGAACCGCATGATGGACTAAGTATTGCGCATCTACGACACCAATCTGCTCTTCAGGGTCCTGCCAAATTCATTCAGGTGAGAGAAATACAGCAAGCTGTTGGACATATATGCAAGATATATATGTTTTGAAACGCTGCTCTTACATGGACGCATCTCCAGAAATTGGAGTCAAGACCCCATGCATGCACAAAGTCATTCTGCACTCAAACCCACTCTTCATTTCAGATCAAACAAGTAAAAAAATGTCAATCTTAGGATTTCTTGACACTGTACAGACGCACCTGGACCATATGCCACACGCATCTCCAAGCATCCTTTGAGAAGACCGGTGCCATCACCTCGACGAACCTGTATCCATGCACACATTTTTTTTCCTGATAAGGGCCATTTCATTCAAACGTTATATCGAGCTGATACAACTGCAATGAAAGAATAAACGGCCACAACACAACAAGATGCATACAGCCAACAAGTTCGAAAATTATAAAACAGAAAAGTTAAAGAGTAGCCTAGGATATAGAAAGACCTATCTGAAACCTACAGAGCCATCCAGGATGGGAGAAAACCTCCCTGGCCGTAGGCATCATGTGCACATGCTTGCATCTTAGTTAATCTCATCAAATTCTACAGGTCCATGGCAAACAAAAGCGTTGGTAGGCTAGGACAACAATAAAGCTGCCTTTTCCAAAGAGAAATCGTCAACAAAAATGATCTGCAGGTGACGGGGTGAAGAATTCAGGTAGTTACCCGTTGCATGGCGGCTTGTGCACGTCCCAGCAACGTTCCCCTGCTGCATCTGTCCTGTTGATGGCAGACAACCCAAATTAGTTTTGGACAGTGCTAACAAGATAGAAATGTGTCATCACGGATCCTGCATGTTTACTTGTGAATCTCGCTGTCGTTTCTCTTGATAGTGACATCATAATTGGTCGTCCCATTGGCCGCGTCTAGCCCTGGCTGCGAGATCTCAAGCCCGTGCTTTCTCACGATGTCGAGGTACCTGCACGCAATGCAACCACAAGATGTTCACCACCACAAAGAGAAATACTGAGAGCTCAGAGGAAGCATGGGCATGGAAAGGTCACGGTACATACGCTTCCGCGGTAAAATTCTCGACACCGAGGTCCTCATCCCATAGGAAGATGTAGTCGTATGGCGCCACGATGCTCGGGTGCAGGAACCTCTTGGCAAACCACCTTCATTGTCATTATTTTCAGGTGAGGGATTGAACATTGCCAATACATTTGTTGGCCAGCTCCGGATTTTGATCTCAGAAATATTTTGGGACCCCACTAATTTCTGTTGATATTTCGGCTTTAAATCTGGTCAATGAACTAAAGTTTTTTGTAGTTGAACTTGGCTGGAATCAACCCTAAGTTTGAGCACATTTGGCAGAAGTTTGGGTTCTATTTGAAATAGTTTGGCTCAAATTAAATGTTGCATCGAAACATTTGGGTACATAGTAAATGATAAGGAGAACCAGTTAGGAGCTAGTTAGGACTGATAGAAAGACTTGGGAGTGGAAAGTTATGTTACCATTTTGTCTGCTTCCTTGCGCTGACATGCGCGACCTCCTTGGACCACTCAAACTCTTCATCCCACTCTGTGGTGCGGCCATCGTAGTGGAACAACACGATGTCGAAGTTGTCAGAGAACTACAAGTGCCATTTGATAGTCATGGGGTTTATACATTGGAAACCGAGGAGTCTATTTCATGATTCCTCTATTGCTTACAGTATGAAAAGCCTCGCCTTCTGAATATTTGCATTGACATTGGCTTTCTCGTCATACCCCACGGCGAGAGCAAGACGGTATTTGCGAGTCGCACTGTCCTACACACAGCATCAGAGACACATACATACCGGCACAGGCCATCGTCAGAAATTGAACCAGGAGATGTGAAATGAATTGAAACAAGATCCTTTGATGTATCTTGGTCCAGAGCCAAGAATGAACTGCAATGCGTGAACTAAGCCAGCAGATCCGGACAAGGTCACTGAAGACGCAAGGCCGGCGTACCTGTGTTGGGGATCTCCATAGCCGGCGCAGGTGAAGATCAGTCTCCGAAACCACGATCCTCGGCGGCAGCCGCCTCTCCGTTCCTTCTTCAGGGTTTCTTGCTGTTGCAACCTCTGCAAACTAGAAAGAGACAGAGTTTGGCATATCTTGCATTTCTGCATGGCAACGAACAGAACTCCACAACTGTAAGGTACCGCTGAAATCGTGAGATTTGGACTGGATGGCACCCATAGTAGTCTGCCCAGTATGCTCATGTCAAGGATGCTGGAGTTTGCAGCACCGCTACTCGACCATGGCATCATGCCACCATACTGAAGCTGCATATATATGCATACATTTGCCTGATCAGTCAGATATCATGATGATATAAGCAATGTATGGTATTCTCTCTCTCTCTCTCTCTCTCTCTCTCTCTCTCTCTCCTTCTCTAGATCTCTACCTTGGGTGTGATCACCACCGGAAAAGAAATGCCGACGACGAACCCGAACGCCGCCGCGGCCAGCGCCGTCAGGACCTTGCCTCCTTTCCTTCTCATCGTCACTGTATGTGTGCGATGCCGGCCGTATGGAGAAGAGGACTCGTTTCCTTGGCTCCCAGAGCAAATATATCTCCGGTAGATTGGGAGTATGGAGACGAAGACCTGAGTTGTGGCTCGATCGGGAATTTTAGACCTTTTGCATCCATCCAACCATGCAACTCCACGTAGTACGCGTAGAGATTATTGCTAGAGGAAGAGCTTGACTTCTCCAACGTGCTCGCCTGTACACGCCACGAGGCATGCATAGAGAGAGTTGACTCCTCCACTAAAACGCACTTCTGTTTGGGTGCATTATTAATTGAAGCTAGCAGATGCAAAAGCTAGCTGGAGGAGGACATCATTGATCGATCGACGTGCGCTCCCCCTACCTCGTATGCATGGGCCTCACCACTTTCATGCTTTTTTTTCCTCGAAAAAGATAGCTCCATGTTAGAGTAATCTTGAGTTTAATTAGTCTATTACTACTTTATAAAAACACGAGTTTGATGAATCCAAATGACCTGAGCTATCCAACCACATATATCCAACATCTCATGCTGCTCCAAGGATGTGCCCGTCACATCTATACCTAATATTAAACACAAGAACAGTGTGAACATAAGTTCATGCAAACTATGAACAGTGTGATTTTTGCATGAAGAACATAGAACACATCTCCTAGTGGCTATAAACTCTAGAAAACCCCACCAAGTTTTGTCGATATTTAACAATAGTACGCATAGGAAATCATACTACAAGGTATAATGCACCAAGAGTCATATATTGGTTTCCGGAACCATGTGATACTTTGGTGGATTACATTTAATATAAATTTCGTTGGTGAATATTTTTCTTGTACAACTAAAACTGAGTTCATAAAAAGAACTTCCACAACATAGTACAATTTTAGTTTAGCACAAAAAATGTATTGAAACATCTTTAAAACTATGTAACGAATATGTATATTAAGGATATAATATTCATCTAATTGTCAATTTTGCTAACTGTTTTGACAAAAAAATTGAAGATAGTATATCAATAATTAATTATTCACAATTCGTGTCAACATGAGTTGTGCTGAAATAAAAAATTCAATATAAAATAAATTTGCTTACTCCTCTATGGGCCTCGTTTGGCGTAAGAGGATTAAAGATTTTGGAGTGGTTTATCCCCGCATCGCTCATAATCCGGCCAAATCCATGAACGGCTGTTTGATACATGAGGTTACGCCGGTTCAACTCCCTTGACCCCCTTCATTTCTCCGTAACCCATATGGCTCAGAACATGCGAGGAGTCTGTTGAAGAACATGAGTCATGTGCCTATAGCCTACTTGATGTGCGCCACTGCCTCAACACGTCGCCTCCTACAACTTACTCAACATGTCGCCTTGTACAACCTCCTCCACACGCTTCCCCCCTACACTAAATAATTTTGAAAACCCTGAGCATGGTCTTTCTAGTTTTGAGTCAATTTCCATTTTCTTATGAAAATAAAATGGATTTCTGAACTTAAATATATTCTTACTTTAACATAAACATGCCGCTTGGAGTCTTGTTGGAGTGAACCAATTGATGCTATCTTGGGATCCGGTTGCCACGCCTAACTTCTGTAATGTACACACGTGTTACTAGTTGTTTGTATCCATATCAAAGTAGTATATCCTACTTGTTTGTCATTTGTTTATAAAGACCTCGCTTCAAGTCAAGTGCACTTTGTACCTGAATCAAGAATTAATTAGGACCTTAAAGGTTTGTTTTACCTATCTGTGAGGTGAGTTGGCAAATAAGAAAAATTAAGTTTTCTCCTCTCTTCCTCTTCTATCAGTTATGTGCATGATCATTCTACTATTATGCTCGTAAGAATTGATGATGGTAAATAACAGGGAGCACCTATGGGATGTACCACATGAAAAAAAGCCTGACATGCGTTTATTCCGAATGACGCAGGGCATCAGAGACAAGCTAAATGATGATTCTCAAGAGGAATAAATCGCCGAACCGACTGGTGATCGACGAGAATGATGACAAGTCCATCATCACTCTACATGTGGACACAGTGGACATGTTGCAGCTGGCGCCAAACTGGCCAGTGATCGACTAGACTACCAATGACGACAGCACCATCATCACTCTGCACCCAAACACCATGGACATGTTGCAACTCTTCCATGGCGACATGGTCCTACTAAAGGGTTGTGCTGGATATTCTATTCTTTAGAGTTTAAGGCTCGAGATATCATGGCGATTAGAAAGTAAAAGGGGAGAAGGAGTGGACAACGATTCGTTTGGTGGGCCGCGACAAAGTTGACCACCATAGGGATGAAAATGGAGTGGAAACTTTCCGTTTTTCCGGAGGAAAAATGGAAATGGAGAGGAAATATGAAAACGGAAATGGAAATTTGCAAAACGAAAGTGGAAATGGAATTCTTTTATGCGGAAACAAACACGGGTGTTTTTCAGGTGGAACATGCATGGAAATGGAACTTTCCGTTTCCATGAATATGAAATTTCTGTTTTTACTATAGACCTATAGATGCTTTGTAGCCCAACCACCAAAGAGAACACAATGACACAATTAGTACAATGGATCTAAGGCCTAACTTCTACTATCACACATGTATTCAGCTTGATCCTATAAGCAATTGTCCGGTACTACTACAATACTACGCTAAGTTGCTAACATAATGATATTATTTTGTACCCATGTTAACAACTCATTAAATTTGTTTGTTTTAGTGTGTATTTCTCTATGATTCAAGGTGTTTTTGAGTTCCCATCAATGCCTATTTCTGTTTCCGTATCTGCTGTGTATTTGCTCCGTGTCCATTTCCGGTAGTATCTGTTTTCGTATTCATTTCCGGGGTTTCTGTATTCGTTTCCGCTTCTGCAGAAAAATATGAAAAAATAATAATATGATAGCACTCAGTTCCGTCCGTTTCGCTCCGTTTTCATCCCTAGACCACCATGCATCTTATTCGACACCGTCAGGCTGAACTGATCCCTAACAGAACCCGAATCTTGTTTCCTGTTGCAACGCATGAGCACATTTGCTAGTAAAAAAGGAAATGTACTATATTTTTGGTACACATCAGCCATCTTTCTCTATATCTAGAGAATATTTGCGTTTATTAATTATGTACTTATTTCTTTGCATCTATGTATTGCCTCTTATTTGATATCTCTTGTATTCATATTTGTTGCTTGTTTATTGATAATAGAGGAAGAGCTTGACTTCTCCAACATGCACGCCCGTATACACGCGTGCGTGGTACGCATTGAGAGAGTTGACTCCTCCACTATAAGACTACCCATAGTGAGAGTAACATAGGGAGTAACATAGATAACACCTAAGCAAAAAATATGATGTGGCAGCTAATTAATGAGGAAAGAGACAAATTGAGTAAGGCTACTCATAGTGGAGAGTATCATACCTAGTATCATGCATGTGATACTAGTCTATGATACTACTTTCATAGTGCATATTATCATAGATTAGTATCATAAATCATCTTATTTATTGTCATGCATGACACATACTAGTAGCATAACATTTATTATGATGGGGGAGACTTGTATGAGATCGCACATATAGGTGAGATCGTGAGATCAACCCTCAAAATTCATATTTAGACATTTCAAAAAAATCTGAAATTATTTGAGAACATTCTTGTGGGGTATGTTTATAGCTCCAAAACATTTCAGCTCAAAACTCAATGTATATTTAGAGATACAAAAAAGACAAATTCGAATGTGAATAGCAGCAACTTTGGGTGAATAGTACTTTGACACTATTCACATCTGATTTTGTCTTTTTTGTTTCTATTAATGTAAGTTGAATTAGAAGCTGAAACTTTTGAAGGTTATACATCAAACATTCATGTGTGTCTACAAAAAGTTTGAGAATGTTTGGACATGTATTTAAAAAAAATCAATCTCATAGATCTCACCTAATGTATGATCTCACACAAGTCTCCTCCTTATTATGATACAATATCTACCTATGTTACTCTAACCCTTTCTCTTTTCTTTGATTGTCTGCCACATAAGTATGGTTTCTAGTCCCAAGTGCATTATACCAGTTATGTTACCCCCACAATGGCCAGCCTAACACAGCTAGTTACTCACACTATGAGTAACACCAAACAATCAAGACAAGATGAGTCTACAAGCTAATAAATGAAGTATTGCATGACATCACATATATGTTACTCCCCATTATGGATAGTCTAATACACTTCAGTTTGGGTGCATTATTAATGGAAGCTAGCAGATGCAAAAGCTAGCTGGAGGAGGACATCATTGATTGATCAACGTGCGGCTACCCTACGTTGTAGGTGCATGGGCT